TGTTCTATTCTGTTCTGTCCTGTTCTGTCCTGTTCTATTCTATTCTGTTATATTCTGTTCTATTCTGTTCTGTTCTGTTCTGTTCTGCTTTGTTCTGTCCTGTCCTATTGTGTTCTATTGTGTTCTATTCTGTTCTGTTCTATTCTCTTCTGTCCTGTTCTATTCTGTTCTGTTCATTCTGTTCTGTCCTGTTCTGTTCTGTTCTATTCTATTCTCTTCTGTTCTATTCTGTTGTATTCTATTCTCTTCTGTTATATTCTATTCTATTCTATTCTGTTCTATTCTCTTCTGTCCTGTTCTGCTTGCAGTCACTGGGTAAGGACCTCACGGTGTCGTGACAGTTTTCAACACATTTGCCAAATACAACAATCACTGGATTTCTTGGATTTCTTTGTTCATGATTTGCATTCTGCTGAGGCTGCTTAAAGTTTCTCAGCCCTGAACCAGTTTTCATGTGCAGTATATTGCCGAGCTCTTGTTTCTAAGGTTTTGTGTGTAATTGCTGGTACATGCACCAACTTTAAGCTTCAAACAGGCCGGTTATGTAACAGCACGTTAGCAGGACTTCATTTGTGTCAAAGCCTTTGTGAAAGCTCGTTTTTCCTGTGTTGGCTGTGAGAGTGGCACCTGTGGCTCACTCGGTGAAGTTATGTGGGGTTGCTCCTGCCTCGGGTGGAGAAACGATCTGATAAATTGCTGACGTAGCTTAACTGTGCAGCTGGGAAGAGGGCTGTGTTTTCCAAAGACACAATGCAGCTTGGTGGAAAACAAACAGAAAGCCCAACATTCTTTTATTTTGGTAGACTTCATTGTTAAAGACAAATATTCATTAACTTAACAAACATGCACTAAAGTTTATAAAGGAGTCTTTATGGGGCTTCCATTTAAACATAAGATCTACTTCATTTACCATGTGGTAGGGACCTGGGCCGTCGTAGTGTAAGGATATCCTCCAACAATCAGGCGATCCCTGTAAGAAGCAACGACAACAGCGGAGAAAGCTCAGGCAGAACCAGGCTCAGGGAGGGGCTGTAATGTGCTGCCACCAGCTGTGGGTGAGGACAAGACAAGTACGGGAGACAGGTCAAAACATGCATTATGGGAGAGAGTGCGAAAGTGAATGAAGCTTTTTAATCAACAGCCTGATGATTGTTGAAACCTTTGACAAATGTAACCCTCCCTGATAGACGCTGCTCACAACACGGTGTTTCTTTACCTTGGCTCTAGCTCAGCAAACTGGGACTGTTGTGGAGGCCACACCAAGTTTGGATCCATTATAGTTTGAATTTGTCAATGTTTAAGTTCTCAGACATAAAAAAGCATAGTTAGTATTTGGTGGGGCTTTATTTAGCACAAACCAACTGAAACCAGTTTATGAGAAAAACAAGCCTCCTGATGATTGACCGTGACTGATGGTGCTGCACGCTGTGTTCATCTGTAGCGTCTGGAACCCCCTCAGTTCATGGCAGAGATGTTTGATCTGAGTCCCTGCTGACGGTTGGAGTTTCATCTCATTTTAACCAACAAGCCCGTGATTGGTGAAGTGGTTTGTTCCCAGTTACATGCAGTGGCACAAATGTCTCTTCATGTAGTTACGTGTTTGTTACGTGTGTGACATGTTGCAGCTGTCTGCTCTGACATCCTTCCAGGACCTTGTTTTACTGCTGCTGTAAGAATACTGAAGGTGCAGTCGGCAGGTGCACCCTGCAAAGTAAACATGGAGGATTTTAAAGTTCACAATATCAGGCAGGGAGCGTTTAAATAATGTCCTCCCCTCTCTGTGCGAGGGCCAGCTGGTTTAACAGCACTATTAATAGCTGTGTATGACCTCTAGAAGCCATATCGTCTCAGAGAGAAGAATGGCACGCATGATGACGCTGGATGAGCAACAGAAAGAAAGCCAGTAACCAGAGAGAGAGGGCGGGGCCACACAGAGGGAGCGGCTGAGCTGATATTCGCTGTCGCTGGGCTGCACGCTTCTTTTTGGCCGGTTAACCTCCTGTTGGTCCACCATACGCCATAGATGGGTGATCCAGTGACCCTGGAGTCTGCCGCCTCTCCTGGTGTTACAGCAGTGCCCGCAGTGCTAGCTGCAGAAAACCAAGGTGAGGCTATCGAATACCAAGCAGCATGGCCTGGGTGGACGAGTGTTTAATACCTGCTGGAGGAGCGAGTGTTCAGTCAGTGTCCAGGTTTAACATCCAGGTGTGTTACGATGCTGTGATCCAGATGTGTGACTGAGTGAGAGCTTCTTCTAACACGTAGTCACGCCTTTGCTGCTGCTGCCTGCTGTGAGTTAGATTTACACTCCCAGCTGCAATCATGCCCACGTATGGATTCATCCAGAAACACACAAACGTCTGCAGAGGAAAAGATGATGTCACAGCACAGGTTGGATGAGTTGGGGACCTGGCATGTTTCAGGTGTGCAGAGGAAGGAGGTTTGACCTAGCATGTAGCGGACTTTAGCACCTGTTCGTTCTCTCTGCCACCATGTTCTCACAGCGAGCGTGTCTTTGTCACTCCAAGAATAGATCCTTGGCTACACTCTACTGTCCCAGCACCACATACACAGCACTGGCACAGTAATGTCCTCAAATGATTTCAGATTATTTACACCAGGGAAATGTGACTGCTGTGGAAAATGCACCGTCAGAAATCTGAGGGAGCGAGTGATTCACAGCCTCAGGAAGAGAGAAGAACTCTGAATCTGATCGATTTACTGCAGAGCAGCAGAATCAGGCCCTGATCCACTCACACAAGCTTTCTTTGAAGGGTCAGATCTGCTGTTTGTTTCCTCTGAGTGGACACACAGTGGTGGGAGGGGTGAAAGGGCATGGTGTCCAATCACCTGAACTATGTGGTGACCTCCTGGAAATAAGGGTGGAGCTAAAATCTGCTTTTTTTTCCCCCTTTCTTTTTTTTAAGCAACATTCTGGTTCACGCTCCACAGCAGCCCGCAGTGTGGGGGCCCAGCGGCGCCCAGTGTGGGGGGCCGTGCGGCGCCGCACGAGTGTGGGGGGCCCGGCGGCGCCCAGTGTGGGGGGCCCAGCGGCGCCCAGTGTGGGCATCCTGTGGGGGCGTGTTTCCTGGGATTAAGCATGCTCAGAGTTTCAAACTGAGGGCAGTTTATGGATGTATGTCCAAAGCTCAGACTGTCCTCAACATTTCTTTGAACACTTCGTCCTGCAGGTGTGTTCACGCCGTGCAGTTGGGCTTCATAAACACACAGGAGGACTTCAAGCTTCTCGCTGTGTTCACTGCTGTTTCGTCGCTCTCATCATTAGTCACACTTGTAACTCTAAAGTAGCATTAACCCTTTAGAGCCGATCGGAGCGGG